GAACAACTTTAACAAAACAAAACGAACCCCAGTCCGGGACTAATTAAAATAAGTAAGGCCCAGCCATCAGACATGATTAAGTTTCATAAGTTAGAGCGCACTCAAACCTTGGTATAACGAACTCTGGTGTAGCGAAATATCGGTTATAACGAAGTAAACGAATAATTGACTCGCAATCAATACAGCATTAGGGACATACATTTATAACGAATTTTCGGATATAGCGAACTCACTTTCGTGTAAGATGCAATTTTGGTATAACGAAGTTTGGCTGTAGTGCCTTCGTGGTGTCGCGGGAGTAGTCCGCCATCCTGCACTACTCCGCAGTCGCAGGACTTAGGTTTGCAGGTGTGTGCGTCAGGCTCTCGGCCGTGGCTGCGCGAGCACCAGGACAGTCTTATACAGAACGTGAGCGTTATCTGGGAAGCCACCGCAGGCCGCGGAGGCAAAGAACCCGTCCTTGCCCTATATGTAGTGCTGAATGTGGGGTGTCATTAGGGAGAGGAAGTGAGAGAGAAATAGAAGTAGGGAGAACGAAAGCAAAAAAAATGACTGGGAGAAAAATAGAAATAAAGAGAAAAAACTGGAATACCTGCAAAAAAGATAAAAAAGAAAGAGAGAAGAAAAGAAATATAAAACCGAAGAGAAGAGGCTGCCCAGCCACCCACTGCCCTCAGGCTTGGCCCCACTAGGGTGAAGCTGTTTTTTTTTGTTTTGTTATCTTTAAGGATTGTAACCGAGCGTACAACGTTCGATGTGTCCTCCAGAAATTCTGACCAGGTGTGACGGAGAAGAAAGGGCGACAAAACAAATGAGAAATGATTGCGAGACGTTCAAAGAATCTGTGTCAAACAGGTGTTGCAATGGAAAGAAAGATCGGCTGCTGCACCTGAGACGGATCGAAACCGGTCGCGCATGCCGCACCGCCGAGGTTTTCGTATGTCGAGCCTGCGGTCGACGGCACGGTATAGATTTCGTGATTGCGAGGCGCATCGGGGCGTTGCCGGCTAATCGAGTCGCTGTCTTGCTGTGCCTGCAGTGTGTAGCCGAGTCAAGTCAAGTCGAGCTTAGCCTAAGACGCAAGCCTGAGATGCCTCATCAAAACAGCAAATTAGACCGTCTGCACTGTCGGTGTCAGCACGAATGATACAATAAATCATTCTGTGACGACGCCACCATATGACGTCGTTCTGACGTGACAACTCGCCAAATTTTGTGGCGTCATCATGACGCAGCCACATTGAATCGTTGCTTCGTCAGTAAGGTGCCGATCCTGGGGGCATTGCAGGACAACGTGAAGTGTGAAGAGCTTCCAGTACAGTGTCCATAAAACCACAATAGGTGCAGAGAGTTTTCATGGAGAAGGGGGTGATCAATACAACTGACTGAAACAAAAAAATAAAGAAATGCATTCCGCCTTCTTAAGGGGCCCTCGTGAGTCATGACTTGGATTAGGACGTGCCATATTGATAAAACCACTAGGGGACCTTCTAACACCAAGGTGTCAAGTGCAGATTAGACCATAAAACACAAATAATGCGTCCACAGAAAACTTCTCAGGAGGCGCCGGAAATACGCGAAACTAAAAAAATACACAAAAACAGCTAGTTAGTGAAACAAGACATGATATAAATATATAACTCTGTTCAATAGCTATAGCGTAAGCAGTAAATATATTGTTAAACACTTTGGGCGCTGGCGTCGTAATAATTGTGACTCTTCGGGTTTAACGTCCCGGAATCATGATGATTGTGAGAGACGCCGTAGGGGAGGGCTGCGGAAATTTGAAGAAGTTGCTGCGTTTTTTATTCTCTTGGAATTTTGACCCGGAACGCTGCAGCAACGGCGGCTCGACGGTCGCGCAATCTTTAAGGATGAGAAGGTAGAGCCATACTTCATACACATTGCGAGCATGCTCCGCAGAGGGTGCCGCCATAGTTATCGGGGCCTATCAAGATGTGGAAAAGCACACGACGCGACTTCCTTGAAGTCGCCGGTGCTGTGGAAAACTCCGTCGTCCAGCCAAAGGCGTGTGTATCGATATGCGTCTTTTGTTTTTCCATTCTGTTTTAGTTTAAACAACCTGGCGTCCACCGAGTACTTTCGTTTATGTCGCGTGATTTATAACCTGGTGAGATTCTCTCCTCGCCTTTGGAGCAAACATTGAACTTGAAGATAAAACAAGAATGTCGCTCGCGTGCGCTCTTGTCTGTGTGTGTGCGTGTGTGTGTGTGTGTGTGTGTGTGTGTGTGTGTGTGTGTGTGTGTGTGTGTGTGTGTGTGTGTGTGTGTGTGTGTGTGTGTGTGTGTGTGTGTGTGTGTGTGTGTGTTTGTGTGTGTGTGTGTGTGTGTGCTTTCAAACATTCTGAAGTTTTCTAAGCAGCGCAAGAAAGGAATGGAGGTAGGCATATCTTGCCTCTCGGATAAGAAACAAATATGGTGTCTGCGGCGCCCTCGCCAGGCCCGTTGCCGAAAACTTCCTTCGGAGGGCGGGGGGGGGGGGGGCGGGGGGGTTACTTGTTGAAGGCCTTCATAAACACCTTTTTTTCATTATTTATTATCTGTAAGGCACTCCCCTCCATCCAAAATTTGGGAAGGGGAGAAGTCCGGACCATAGCCAGGGGGGCAGTGCACCTAGGGCACCCCCCCTCCCCTGGCTACGGGCCAGACTCTTGCACATCCGGGCTGCACAAAGAGAGAGGTATACAGAAGATCAACGCAGTCTTCTGCTTCGAAAGTCAGCTGTTTCATCTGTCACGTTGCGCATGTTGTGCGCTTTCAAAATCGCCTGCCTACGTCCTAACAGTTCACCCTTCTTTTTTTCTTTTTGTGTCTCTCGGTCTTCTTACACAGTTGCTTACTGGCCCCCTTAAATCAGTTTGCCAACAAGGCACTCACGATTTCACTGTTGTCGATTTGAGATTCCTTCCGCGAAATCACCTGCTGCTGCATGTATTCGTCTGGAAACCATTCGTTCTTTGTCGTCTGCTATGACGACTGTCCACTTCTGCTTTTCACGTCCGTCGTGGGCGCTGTTCCCCCCGCGAATACCTTATCTCTAGCCTTATCGGACGGGCTCTGTTATTACGGAACGTAAAAGCGACAGCGCCGGTCTTGTTCAGGCTTCATACAGGGACTAAGTAGGTAGAGAGAGAGAATGAGAGAGAGAACGGCGTAGAACATAGGGAGTGGGCGGAACGTCACGAAGTTTCGCGATGACGCTTTTCGACAAAGCGGTGGAGTAGGCGGTGTTGGCGCGGTTGCCTTGTGAAGTTCGGCGACCGCGAAACACAATGACCTTGCCTGTTTTATTATTTCAGTTTCACTCGGCACAGATCTTTCTGTTGGTGTCTCGGCGATTGTTTTGTTTGAACCGAAAGCGGTGGTTGCCGGCGGTATTTTGCTGGGCAGGATGTACACGACTCCATGCCGCATTTGTGCGGCACGTTCCGGACACGGATCTGCGATGAGTGCGATAACAGGTGACCGACAAGCTTGCAAGGTTGAGGAGTGTTCCAGAAAGGGCGCGATTTTAGGCCATCTACAACGCTTACGTCTGTATAAATCGTCTTCCTTAGCAATATTTTTTTCTTGTTTTTATATAGAGATGCAAAAGTGGCGGCGTGCAGAGGACCATTGGCAAGGTGCGAATGGCAGCGTAAGCGTGCCCGTATCCTTAACGTCCTTAGGCCACAGCTTCGCATGCGCTGGACCTAGTGCTTGATATCCACTGCTGCCTGACTCAGCTACTCATGAACCTTGGCTATTGCTGTATTTATTAACATGTTATCAAGTATCAAATCAGAATCGTGACTCGTTTCTGGGTTGGCTGAGAGCAGTATCCATGTCTTGACCACCTGATGTCAGGTCTGATCGTAGTGTCTTACGCGGTCATTGCAAGTTACTTTCTATTTTTTATGTTTTTGGTTGGCTTCAGGCGCAACTGTTCACGACCCAGTGTCATCAGTGTAAAGTAGTTTTCTTATGAAGTATCGAGTGCCCATCGAGACCCAGATAACGTGAGCTAGGTGGAAGTGTAGTCTGTCTAGCCGACGTCACCATGTCCGATCTGGTAAAAGTGGCTTAGTTTATGCATCGTCTGACTGGTGCTGGCTTGACACTCTTCATAATCCGCTGCAGGCTTCTTGAAAGCATCTTCATGAACCGTTGGAACGTTAAGCCCCACATATCAATCAATCTACACGAACCAGTGCTCTCGCACTACTCAGTAACGTACCGTCGAGACCATAGAACGTGTCAAACCTGCATAGCGATTTTCAGATCGGCTAGCTTACGGGTTAATACCACATGATGATACTACTACTGATCCCGTTGTGTTGGTGGTCTTTGTACTATTGTATTGTGCTCACGTGGCACTCCGCTTCATCAGCTGTAAGTTTGGATAAAGCTGTTAAAGAATCTAGGCCATTACTATACAATTTGATATCACGCATCAAATATGAACCGGAATTAGGCTAGCCAAGAGCAGCATTCACGTTTTAACTACATGATGATGATGTTAATTCTGTTGTGTCATTGGACGCTCTATTTCTGCTTGGTCCTCACGTTCCGTCCTTCTTCACCTGCTATCAGCTTCCATAAAGCTTTTAAGTATTTATGGTCATTGCTATATAACTTGCTATCGTGCACCAAACCGAATCTCAATTTCTGGCTGGGCTCTCTAAAAGTGGCGTCTACGATTTGACTGCTTGATGATTATGTTAACACTGGTATGTCATTTGACGCTTCCTTGCTGCCTGGTCCACACGTGATGCATTTCATGGCCTGTAAAACCTTCAGTAAAGCTCTGTAATAACGACGGCCATCACTCTATAACTTACCACCTATGCATCAAACATGAATCAGAACTGCTATCTGGGAATGACATCCACGTTTCAAAAGACCGCACGATGACGATGTTAAACCTGGTCGCGGGGTGTCGGTTGTCGCTGTACTTGTCGCCACCTGGTCCCTCACGAGACACTGTTCGTTCCTCGACAGGCGATGGCGAGGCGGAGAAGATCTTCGTGCGCGTCGGCGGCAACGTGACGCTCCGCTGCCCGGACCATCCGCAGCAATCCGGTCAGCAGCCTCGCCACTTGACCTGGTGGAAGGAAGACCGTCGGCTCATCGAGGCCACCCGAGAGCGCGTCACCGTGGCGCCCGAGGCCGGAGCCCGGGTCGCCCTGGTGCCCGGCTCCAGTGCGCTCCTCTTCCGCTCGGTCATGGCCGAGGACAGCGGAGAGTACCAGTGCGTGGTCAACAACCGCCAGGGGAGGAGGAACATCGTCAGGCTCTACGTACAGGGTGAGTCAAGTTATTGAGTCAAGTAAGGATGAGTCAAGTTATAGTCAAGTACAGGGTGTCAAGTTAAGTTTGTAAGGTCGTCGCTGACTTCCTCGGAGGTCTTCGAAACGGCCACCCACCAAAATTGCGGTTTTCAGCGAAAGCAGAGGGTCTATTGCGCCCGTAGATGTCCGAAAAATGGATTGCACAAAAGGAGCATTCCGTGCGGACTCGTGCTATGGGGAGTGTAGAAACGCCCATCCCGACCCTACCTCAAGCAAGTGAGGGAGGTCCTTCAGAAGCTCACTTATCGCCGACCAGCCGTCGAGCAGGCCCACGAAACGGCCACTAGGTATTCCTAATCGGTTCCTATACGGGGGAAACGGCCGCTACGCGCTAAGCGCGTCCTGCGCAGGACAAAACTAAAGCCTTTTAGTTTCGTTCCGTTGCAAAATGGGCCCTGGATGTCGCTAGCTCCCCGCCATCTTGCCATGGCGTGTGTCACTCGGGAGCTTCATGTAGTGCGTCTTGTAGTTTCAGCAGCCGCAAACTATTTCATTTTCAATGCCGAACTTAAGAAAGCTCTAATAGCTTCATTGCACGGGCAGCTGACCACGAATCCAGTGTCGTTAGCCGGAATACAGATGCTCGCAAAACAAGCGGCTAGTTAGGTAACGGCTCGCGAGTGCGCCAAAGTTGGCAGACTCTCCGGGCTCGCTCGCGTGTTTATAAAAATGCTCGTTATGAATTATGTTCTCTATCAAGCGCGCTGAAATGTTTGAACGAAAATTGGGTATGATGACTGACCCCTTCAGAGAGGCATGAGAGCCCCCACCCAGATGACATACGATTGCAACCGTGATTAAATAAATATTCCCTCTAACGTTCTAGGCAAGGTCGCCCGAAGGCGGAGTCGCCAACAGGATGGCTTATGACGTCAGCCCATAGCGCGCGCTCATTGGTGCGTCTGTCTTCGAGGTGCAAATGCTCGTGTTTCGCGAAGTTTGTACTTGACAACATTTAGTACGCAGACGATACGACATGTGACCGAATGTTCTGTACAAGAATGTTTCCCCAAGACTGACCCGAGTATACAGCATTGCCGGTTTGTGGAAACGGTCGATGTACGATTTGGACAACTTTCATACACTATAGGTCACCACACACCACCAGCGGGGAAACAACACGTTGGTACAACTGTCGTAAAGTTTCCGTAAAAGCACAGCGTACAGAGGGTGAACTAATCACTCCGTTTCAAATGTCGTCAGGTCGACCAATGGGGAAACAGCGCTCGAGAATGAAAAGTTTCGCGAACTCTGATGACCTTAATACTTGGCGTGCCGTAGATCGTCATCGAATATGTTTCGACCACACAGTGTGTTCGCGTGTGTACGATAAAAAGCGCGACCGCTGACCCGGTCTTATTAATGAATTTCCGAGGGTCGAGCATTGCGTGACCCGGTTGACTATACGATCGGTTAATCGAAGTCTCGGTGCGCTATTCCCAGCCGTTTTCAATAGACTCGTATACAGTCGTGCTTCGCGTCGTCCCAAGTCACGCGGGTAAAAGACACGCGGTTTATTTACCCTGGCACACGACTCTTGGCTCTTAAAGCGGGCGCACATCTTATCACCAAGTTCGATCTACGAATTGAGCATCCTCTAAAGCAATGTGACATAGTTTCTTCACGACATCAATGTCTCCTTCGTGTTATATAGATTATTTGTGACTTGTACAGTAGATAATGTATGTTCCCGAGGAAATCAATTAAGGTCACCGAAGGATACTAAATGTCCTCATTATTAATCAATCAAGCAGTCAATCCGTTTCCCGTAAAAACCACAGGCATAAAATTCGTATTCCGAAGTAGGTTTTATGCTACATGCTTGAAAGGAGACCTCTTAGATTGTTCTTTTTCTTTTTTTCTAGCCGCTATACATAACACGATTTGTGAAATTTTTAAACACGGTGCGGTCGTCTTCGACATTCGTCAAAGGTTGATCACAGGCCCTTCTGCACCTTTACAATCGAATCTGTCGCATTTTTTTGCAATTTCTCTCTCTCTCTCTCTTCGCAACATTTCTTTTTAACATCTTTTATTCCCCTCACCCCTTTCCCCAGCACAGGGTAGCCAGTCGGTCTAAGAACTGGCTAGCCTCCATGTCTTTCCGCTTTTGCTTTCTTCCTCCTCTTCTTCTTCTTTACAATCAATGTTTCTTCGATGCCGCCACTATACCATCTCTACTATTGTAAATAATAACCTGCTCTTGAAGAAGGAACCCAAGCGTCCACTTTTTTTTTTCTGCGGGTGTACCCGACCAGAATTCGGGGTGCATCCGCTTCTTCTAAGTAAACATTCGCGCTGTCGACGACCGACATTTCGATCAGCATCACCCCCCTACCCCTTACGCATTTGCAATACCCCATATTATAGCTAACCTCCCTGTCCTTCTTCATTCCTCCTCCTCCTCCTCCTCCTCCTCCTCCTCCTCCTCCTCCCATACTAATAGACCTCCACACTCCATCACAAAGTTTCCGTAAAAGCACAGCGTATATACAGAGGGTGAACTAATCACTCCGCTTCAAATGTCATCAGGTCGACCAATGGGGAAACAGCGCTTGCAAGAACGAAAAGTTTCGCGAACTCTGATGCCCTTAATACTTGGCGTGCCGTAGATCGTCATCAAATGTTTCGACGACACAGTTTGTTCGCGTGTGTACGATAAAAAGCGCGACCGCTGATCCGGTCTTATTAATGGATTGCCGAGGGTCGAGAAACGCATGACCCGGTTGACTATGTATACGATCGGTTAATCGAACTCCCGGTGCGCTATTCCCAGCCGTTTTCAATCGACTCGTATACAGTCGCGCTTCGCGTCCTCCCAAGTCACGCGGGTAAAAGACACGCGGTTTATTTACCCTGGCACACGACTCTTGGCTTTTAAAGCAGGCGCACATCTTATCACCATGTTCGATCTACGAATTGAGCAGCCTCTAAAGCAATGTGGCATAGTTTCTTCACGACATCAACGTCTCCTTCGTGTTATGTAGATTATCTGTGACTTGTACAGTAGATCATGTATGTTCCCGAGGAAATCAATTAAGGTCACCGAAGGATACTAAATGTCCTCATTATCAATCAATCAAGCAGTCAATCCATTTCCCGTAAAAAACCACAGGCATGGAATTCGTATTCAGAAGTAGGTTCTATGCTACATGCCTGAAAGGAGACCTCTTAGATTGTTCTTTTTTTTTTAGCCGCTATACATAACACGATTTGTGAAATGTTTAAACACGGTGCGGTCGTCTTCGACATTCGTCAAAGGTTGATTACAGGCCCTTCTGCACCTTTACAATCAAATCTGTCGCATTTTTTGTAATTTCTCTCTCTCCTTCGCAACATTTCTTTTTAACATCTTTTATTCCCCTCAACCCTTTTCCCAGCATAGGGTAGCCAGTCGGTCTAAGAACTGGCTAACCTACCTTGCTTGCTTGCTTGTTCCTTTCTTTTGTGGCTCTCACCCACTAAGGGGGATTGGCCAAGAAGCCGGTGGTTAATGCAAGTCAATACCTCTAGATTTTCTAAATTAAGGGAATATGATTACTGTGTTTTGACTGTGAAATTAATTAGGCGCAATGTCAAAAGAAAAAAGAAAACTTACCTGTCTTTCCGCTTTTGCTTTCTTCCTCTTCTTCTTCTTAACAATCAATGTTTCTTCGATGCCGCCACAATACCATCTCTACTATTGTAAATAATAACCGGCTCTTGAAGATGGAACCCAAGCGTCCACTTTTTTTTTCTGCGGATGCACCCGACCAGAATTCGGGGTGCATCCGCTTCTTCTAAGTAAACATTCGCGCTGTCGACGACCGACATTTCGATCAGCATCACCCCCCTACCCCTTATACGCATTTGCGAAACCTCACACGTAGACTCCACATTCGTGCAGCACAACCAATATCGTGATTTCCTTCCATGATCTACGTTTTCAGACATCTCGAGAAAAAAAAACAACGATAATGTCTGCGCACACATGGGAGCAATGCACTCACGGTTCATTTGTGCGGCATGGTTTCGTTTTTGCGCGTCATCTATAATTTTCTAGAAACCCAGCTCATTCAGTCGCACACGCCAAATTACACCGCGACATGGGATCCCAGTGTTTATTTCGGGAGGTATATATAGCGGGATCATTACTCGCTAACGATCATTCCTTGCGGAAGCGTGTTTGTGTGTGTGTGTTTGTGTACAAAATGCCCGTGTATACTCGTGTAATGGCCGCGCGCAGAACTTTGCTACAGAGTGCACTCCCCCAAAATGTACTTAAAGATTACCCGCGTATTAGCCGCAAATTGTGAATAGGGTTAAGAGTGTTACTCGTTGCGCGTTGCAAGGATGTAAGGGTCTTAACGCGATTGCATTATGGATCTCGTTTCGCGGGAATTTCGGTGTCGGCGTCTCTGTTTTGTCAGCGAAAATAGTGTGTTCTACATCAGCGAAAATTCGCGATAGATGCAAATAAAAGTAACAAAAAAATCTTGGGCCCAGGTGAGGATGTAGCAACGGCTTTCTGCATGCAAAACACGTTCGCTTTGTGTCTTTCAAGGCACTGTCTTTCAAAACCGCGCCCCGCCGTGGTGGTCTAGTGGTTAAGGTACTCGGCTGCAGACCCACAGGTCGCGGGTTCGAATCCCAGCTGCGGCGGTTGCTTTTCCGATGGAGGCGGAAATGTTACAATGTAGGCCCGTGTGCTCAGACTTGGGGGCACGTTAAACAACCCCAGGTGGTCGAAATTTTCGGAGCCCTTTACTACGGCGTCTCTCATAATCATATGGTGGTTTTGGGACGTTAAACCCCACATATCAATCAATCAATCAATCTTTCAAAATGGTGGAGAAAAACTTCAGATCACGGGAACTTCGAACAATTCTGACGCAGCAGAGGAAGAACTCGTCTGGGGCAGGGGTGAATTTTGGGGAGGTGATGAGTGAAGAAGACGGGAATGGTATTCTTGCAACC